ATTTATGTTTTCTAGTGACGGATGTCGCCAATAATCGCATTGATACTTCTGATTAATTCTATGTGTGATTAATTCTTGTATATATATATTATTTTTATATGTCAAGAAATTCTGTGTTTACTAGTTAATAAAATTTTTATCTGATTTTGTGCATGTGTGAACAAACGTATGTAAGTACGTGTGTCCCATACTGTGATTGAAATGTCATTCTTTCTTTAGCAATGCGGAATAACTTTCGACACAACATCTTAACCACGTCACGTTGTCTCGACTTGAAAGAACAGGCATCTGCCTGAATGTATCCATGGACGAATATTTGTTTTTAAAGAATGAATACATTTATCAGCATGTCATTCAAGAGTTCTGAATGTTTAACGCACCCTCTAAAGATTGATGAAATGAACAATGAGTCTTTCCAATATTTTAAAGCTGATGTATAGACAGTTGTGCCTGGAAGCAATGCGTTATTATATTTATTACAGTCGTTTTCCTAAAGAAGAAGAAGAAAAAAAAACAAACTATTATATGAATTTGGTGTGTAAACTTTGTGATGAAAAAGAATAGTTTCCATTCGCGAAAACAAAAGAACGAAGTGATTTAAAGTTATAAAACATTATTCAATATAACGTTTCTTTCTATTTAATTCAAGGAAGATGATCAATATAAGTCCCCAGAAGGACATGAAAGTAAATAAATAAACAAATAAATAAAGAGTTGATCAAGTATTATTAAATGATTTGTGTTAATCCTATTCAAAGAAGGAACTCGAAATCTAGAAAATAAATAATTGTAGAAAATAACATTGAATTACAAGAAAATTGATGAGATTCCTTAAAGTGTGAAATCGGGTTTATATATATATATATATATATATATATATATATATATATATATATATATATATATGTGTGTGTGTGTGTGTGTGTGTGTGTGTGTGTGTGTGTGTTTTACGGTAATAAACTAATAACCTCAGCATGAGAACAACCTATTGCTGGCTGAACTGATCCCATATATATGGTCTGTTATAATAAAGATATTGAGCTCTCTGTGATAAATTTTAATATTTGTTATTGCTAGGTTCCATCTGGATTATATACCAACGGACCTATTACCTGTACTATATATATATATATATATATATATATATATATATATATATATATATATATTATTTATATATTAGAAAGCGCTCAATATCAGAGATATAGCTAACATATTTGTTTTTCCTGACGATCGCAAAAGCGTGAAACCCAGGGTCACAAACTCACATCAATCCAACCAAATATATATATATATATATATATATATATATATATATATATATATATATATATATATATATTTAAATAGCCGACTTTTTCTTTAAGAAATAACATCAGATTTTGAAAAGATTTTCTTCGAGGAGAATTGGGCTAAAGCCACAGAACGTTGAAACACAGGCTCCCGTACGATCACTGAAGATAAGCAGCGTCCATCCTAGTTGCTGTGTTGTAATGGATAATGGCTCGGAATTGTTAATTGGAGAAGCCGATTTCCAATTTCACTTGGGTTCGTTATGTTCTCTTATGTGCAAATACCCTTGGGAAATTTATGAATTCCCCTCGTCCACCTACCAAAATTTTGATGATCCTGGGAGAAAGTCAATTGTACTCAGTGGGCGTGAAAATCTGACGCTGATGATATTTTCCATCATCATCATCATCATCATCATCATCAGTTCACTGACTGCTTCAATTACTGGAGGGACCTATGGGAAGAAGAAACAGATACCTCCTCCAGGATGAGTTGTTGACAGTGGCTCTCAGGACTTCCGACATTGTCAGGTCCGCCCAGTCTTTAATATTGTCTGACCAGCTTTTGTGTTGCCGTCCCTGCTTGCGTCCGCATTCAACAGTGCTTTGCATGAAGGTACTGCAGAAGCTGCTATGCCGTGTCACGTGGCCAATTTATCTTGTCCCACGAGACTTTTGACCTTGTTCCGTACGTAGTCATTTGTTTTGATGCGGAGGAGATTTCTCAAGCCTTTTTCTCGAACGCCTCATTTTTTGTACCTCGACCAGTAGTGTCTAAGTATAACACCCTTAGAGGAGAATGGATACCACCAGCTATTTGTATAGTTTGAACTTGGCCTAGAAGCAGGTATTGGTCTTCCATATCCTTTCCTGTCTGTCGGGATCCGTGTGCGGATATGTGCTCTGCGGGTAGCATAATTTACAGGGTTGCTCCCAAATATGTGAAGCTAGACACTTCCTTCAGTGGTTCGCCATCCATGTTGACGCTGGAATTAGTATTGGATGTGCTATTCACTATTACCTTGGATTTCTGTGTGTTGATTTCAAAGACACACATACATACATATATATAACGATACCTAGAAGCGTATGAACAACATAGATGCCAGAAGGTTAACAACTTGCAGTAAACGTTTTAGATAATAAGTCATCATCATCAGTCGCTTGCCTGTTTCAATCATCGGGGTAACCTCAGGGCAGAAAAAAACAAACAACTTCCTACAAGATGATCTGTTAGCAGTGACACTCAGGAGTCCCGGCATTTTCATGTCCGTCCATTCTTTCATTCTGTCTGAGCAGGTCTTTCGTTGTCGTCCCTGATTTTGTCCGTCCTTATTCAGCTAGAAGTTAAAGTCGTATTGTGTCAGGCCCACTGTCTTCCCATCTGAGCAACGGTGAGAGGAAAAAACATTCAGACCTTCAGTTATGGTACCTAAATTCATGCTCTAGCTTATATCTTCAAATCAATTCAAGAACCATCCAGATAGGGATGAATAAATTTTAAAAAGAGTGAATAGCAGAAAGAAAAACTGGATCAGGAGGTCATAACAGGAAGAGGGATCATCATTTCAAGTTAGAGTTAAAGAGATCAATTAGAAAACATCCAATTCAATCCATAAGGTGTTTGACACGGGAGAGAGGAGTTTCAGCTATGACAGTCCAAAGAGCAGTGAAAAAAATACTTGAAAATGAAATCGTACGTGAAAACTGTGAGGCACCTTGTTGCTTAATGATAGAATGTTAGATAGTTATAGAGGACGAAGATCATCTTAAATAAATTGGAAAAGATCAAAATGTTGTAAATTGGAATAATACACACACACACACACACACACACACACACACACATATATATATATATATATATATATATATATATATATATATATATATATATATACATATATATATATTAACTACATTTCAATCCTTCATGAGTTTCTGATCGTTAGCTGTGATTAAATAATTATGACCATGTTATTTTCGCTTATGATCGATTTCATCAGGATTTTTTTGTTAAGTTTAAAGAGTAATTATTCATTCCGATAACATCAGGAAGTCTCTTTTTCTGACAAATAGGCCATAGTGATATTCGAACATGGTCAGAAAAAAAAACGTTCTAATGACTCAGCCACGCGCTCATATATATATATATATATATATATATATATATATATATATATATATATATACACATAAGCATATACACACACGCGCACACACACACACACACACACACACACACATATATATATATATATATATATATATATAGAGAGAGAGAGAGAGAGAGATTTGTGTCTTTAGAAAGCAATCCTTCTTTCATTGACTACTACAGACAGGGTGCTTTGATTTAGTTATTTTTTTACAATTTCTCATATGATATATCAATTTTATTTCTTTCCAGATGATGCATTATATAATAAATGTCCAATTGTTCTTTCTTTCCGAGCGCTTTCGGCAATACATTTAACCATTTTCAAGGACGAAATATTTTAACTTTTAAATAAGAAATAGTTTGTTGCATATATGTATTTATATAATGTTTTCATTTTTCAAAACACGGTCAAGCTATTGTGTCCATGTTCATAGTTGATATTATTGAGTGTTGTTCTCTTTTGTTTTTATTAATAAGGATTCCATTGTTTTAGCCTTTTTTGCATGTAGATGATGCTACTATATTTGTGTTGTTAATAGGTATGTTACGAATATTGTCCAGTAGGTCTCCATGAGTATTTAAATGAGATCTAATTGAGTTATTATAACATATATATAACCTTATATATGTGTATGTTTATAGAGATGTTCCAAGCGTAGCTTAGATGTGGTACAAGGCCGAATGTGTATGGTTATATGTATAAATTAATGCAAATATTTTTTCTTTTAACAAGGCGCCCATATCATTTTGCCTGAATTTGTGTATGCATGGAACTATGTGAAAATTCGCACGCCAAACTCTTTTTTCTTATAGAAACCAAAATAATGATTCATCTCCATTTCATTCGTGTTTATATTCCAAACTCTTTTACCTTTGCTGACATATCAATTTCTATTTCAGTTCGAACGTAAAATGCTATCAATTCCATACTGAATAATGAACACATTCTTGGGCATTTTTATTCGTTTTTTAATTGTTATCACCATTACGACTGCGGATTTCACAGTAGCATTCTTATGATTTCTGGAGGAATAAAATCAGTAGTATCTAATAGCAAATGTATTCTTTTATTTAAGAAATGTTACTTCATTTATGATTCGCAAGGATAAAAACGGACGAGTGTCGTGTTAGGAAAGACAGCGATAATGATTTAATGATGAGAAAAATGGGTAAGATAAAAGACTAAATGAAAGGAAACAAAATGGCGAAGGTAAAATAATTTTCAATCCGTTGATGTAAATGTCAAGTATAATCAAATTCTTAACATGCATGAAAGACGTTTGGCGGGGACTGATAATTCGATCAAAGCGTTAGAACAAAACGGTTCTTTGAAAATTGTGCTTAATTCTGTAAAAGTTCCTGGCAAATTTCTTCTCCAGCGCAACTTACTTCTTAGATATGTAATAAAAAATTATAGCAAGAAGAAAAAGCAAAAAAATGGAAAGCTAGACGGCCAAGAAGAGGAAGAAGCTGGAGAAAAAAAAAATAGAAGTGAAAGAAGAAGAAAGAAAAATCTCAAGAAATGTATAAGTTCAAAAAAGCCGTAAATCTCAAATCAAAGAAAGAGACAAACAAAAAATTGAAGAAGAAGAAAAGGAGGAGTAGTAGTAGTAGGAGAACGACGACGGCAAAGGTGATGTAAAAGACGATGAAATGAAGATTACGTAGCCGACGGCGACGATGACGAGGAGGAGGAGGTAGAGGAAAGGAGGGGCACAACGACGGCGAAATAAAAAAGGAGGGGGATAAAGACGACGATGATAATGAAGAGTAAGCCGAGGTGAAGAAGGAGGTGGAGGAATAAGACGACAACGACGACGAGGAGGAAGAGAGGAAGCAAGAGGAGTAGGACGATGACAACGAGAAGAAGGGTGACGACGAAAAAGAAAAGAAGAAGAGAGAGAGAAATAAAGAAAGAGGGGAGAACGATGATAGAAGAAGAAGGGGAGGAGGAGGAGGAGGAGGAAAAGAAAAAGAAGAAAAATACAAAAAAGAAGAAGAAATGAGAAGTCAAAGAAATATTTATAAGAAAAAGATTCGAAAGTAAGAATTAAAATAAGTAAGAGATAATGGGAATATGGAATAAGAAAAGAACAAAAAAGTAGAAAAGGAAAAAAGCAAGGAATCGAAGCGGAAAAAATGGCTGTTTTAACATTAGCTTTCATAATACTTAAAATAATATTTATCTGATGAAATATTAGAAAAAGTAAATGATCAGGAACCAGAGTGAGAGAAAAATAAAGACGATGTGTAATACAAGGAGGAGAATTGAAAGAAAAATGATAAACGAACATTGACAAAACAAAACCAGATATTTAGCGAAAAGCCTAAGTTGGCGGAACACTATTAGTTCTCCACTTTTGTCTTCGTGTTCCATAATGCATTTGCCATTGTTATCCTGCCTTTCGTACGGCTCTTATCGTCTGTCAGGTTATTAGTGGTGCTTCCGATTTCTATTGAAAAGCCCGGATATGAGAGCAAAGATTCACAAAGCGACACCCTCCTCGTCTCAGCTCGTTCCGATCATCTTTGCCAAAGTAAACATCTTTTTACTTGTCTTTCTTCGTTTCACTTATTTTCTTTCCGCCTAATTTCGGGTTTTCCATTTTACCCACTCTTCTCTGAGCGTTTTCCTTTATTCGTTTATATATTGGGCACCATTCACTTTTTATGCATTTTTATTCATCGTATGTTTATATTTTTTTTAGAGATTTTCCTTCGCTAAACAATTGTATTACAGAAGGCGTCATTAACAATTTCAAGCTTAATTCGTCAATGAGATATAGGCGTATATATCAATACATCTATAGAGAGGAGGATCAGTACAATAAGAGTTATGTAAAAGAAGATACATATATATATATAATAAAGGCTTCACACAGAAAAGCATAATATCTAATATATATGTACTTGTGTGTGTGTATATATATATATATATATATATAAACTGGGTGTAACACCAAAATTGTCCTAATCTTTTAAATACATAATTGTCTATCCCACAAAAAGTTTAATATAAAAAAAACACTAAAGTAATGGCTTTCTTTTTTCCAGGTTTTTTCAAGACTTTTACCCATCTTGACACCAATTATCGTAATAAACACTGAAACACCCTTTGGCTTATTCAGATAGAAAGAGGACAGGTTAACATCGTTTTGTGTCAGTCCCATTCTCTTCTCAGCTGAGCAATGGTGAGAGGAAAAAGATCATTCTGGCCTTCAGTAATAGTAGTAACATTCATACTCTGGCTTCCATCTTCAAAGTCCATTCAAGAACCATAAGTAGAACAGTGAATAAGTTTTAAAAAGAGGGAAACGTAGAGAGGAAAACTGGATCAGAAGGTCACAACAGGAAGAGGGATCATCATTTCAACTTGGAGTTAAAGAGAAAAGATCGAGTTCAATCCATAAGACGTTTGGCATGTGAGAGAGAAGTTTCAGCTATGACAGTTCAAAGAGCAGTGAAAAATGACTTGAAAATTTCTCTCTCTCTCTCTCTCTCTCTCTCTCTCTCTCTCTCTCCGTATATATATATATATATATATATATATATATATATATATATATATATATATATATATATATATAATACAAATATAAAATGTGTCATTTAACTGACAGATGTTATATTCAGATCCTGTCTCAAGAGTTTCGTACACCAACCATTGTGTGTGCGTGTACGCGTATGTATGCGTGCGTGTACGTCTGTAAACGTGCGTATGTGCACATTATCATTCATATATATTGTTATGTGCATATACAATTGTATATGATTTTAAGTAGACCTGTATATGTAAAGGGAGCGATCGGTAAATTGCCGCCAATTTTACTTTTGTCGTTCTATTTTTTTTTTTTTTTTTTGTCGACTGCACAGTATAAAGGCCGTTTAGGCTCCGTCTGTGAGAAAAAGAGTACAATGACGCAATTCACTACGCGAAAAATTTAGAAGCTGCACTGCTTGGCATTCGTACCGAAAGCTCCATTACGAACATTTCAGTGTGTTTGGGTGCCAGTGTAGAGGATTCGGAAAGAATTGGATGAGTCTTATGGTAAATACGAAAAGTATGGAAACTCAGGAAAAATCACTCTGCTCGTTCAGATAAGAAAAGAACTCTTGCAATTTTTAGTAAGAGCTCCAGACTCATCACGAAGGCCTACATCAAGTGCCGTAAGGAAGTAGTACTGCTCTGGGTCAAGAGAGTGGCTGTTTGAAAACTCTATGTCTGGCAAATGGAATCTGCACCATGCAACAGAAGCACGATATTTCAGTCATGGCTGCCACTTAATAGCTATAACCACATCACTCCCCAGATTGCAACCACCTTGATTATTATCCGTGGGGCCTAGTTGAGTGAGAGGTGAACAAAACTCCTTTTAATACTAAAGATGAAGTGAAGGCAAAAATTACGCCAACATTCACCAAATTAAACCAGGACACCGTCCAGAAGAGATGCAGGAGATTCCCGAAGTCGTCTGTGGGCCGTAGTCGAAGGCAATGGCGATTTTACTGAATAAATTTAATCTCTAGTATTTCAAGATATGTTTGTGTAATATTGGTAAATATATCTGTTAAAATGAGATATCAGTATTATTTTTTATTTTTGCCTAATTTAGATGACAATTTATCCATCGCCTGCGCTATATGCATATGAATATATGTGAAACCACGTGTAAAAGCTTTTAAGTAACAACGCGATTCGACTTCTTGCGTTTGGTTGGCGTCTTCCGGTTTAAAAGAAAGAACAAATCTGTATGTTTTTATATTGAAGCCTTTAACGTCTGTTGGTTTTTAATTAAATCCACTCCTTGTAGATCTAGTATTCTCTCTATTAGATCGTATACCGCATTGTTGTTCTATTGCTTTTGCGATAATCGGTGATATTATGCATGTGCCTGATCTTAGGCATATCTTCGAGAACTGTGTGCCAAGTGCATTCTCAATGCCGTTTTTTTCTGTGTGAATCCTTTACTTTAATGATTAAAGTGGCACTTTTTTCGGATATTATTCGACATTCTACTAAAACTCATATTAAGATTACGGCAGGTTGATTTTTTACTCGTTGCGAAAGCTATAGTTTGATGTAGTAAGTATTGACACCAAAAATTAAATTGATAGTTTCAAGCAATATTTGAGCATTTAGTCTAAAATATAGTGGGAAAAAATATACAGAAATACCTAATTTCAACAGATTTTTGCTTCAAAATTTCACTATTTCAAAAATAAATCAAAATAAAGTTGATATTATTTGTATTGGATACATTGAATGGAAAATATATTCAAACCAGAATTGTAATTATGAATTATTAAAACATGTATTTTTTTTTTCTGTAATCGATAAGTGAAAACTGTCATAATTGTAAAATATCGCAAAAAAAATCAATAAGATCTTACACCATCTGTTCGGTTATTATTATTAAAAACAAATCAGATAAAAATCAATATAAGACAAAATATTTTAAATTTTTCATTGTTTATAGAAAATTGCAATAAAACTATAGCATCGTATAACATATTACATCATAATATAGATTAATTTTTCAGTATAATTTTCCTTTGAAGCAAAGGTTTATATTTGATGGCACAAACCTTCTTGTGATTTTTCTTCTTATCTATATACAATTTGTAATGTTTCAGTTGTTAGTTTTACTTCTCTTTCCACACCTTGTAAACGTACAGGTAGACTCCAACATTGTTCCATTCATTGGAACATTTTGCAGTTTCTTAATTGAAAAACCCTTCTACAAGCGAAGGTCCAAAAACTACATTTTGTGAGAGATCATTCAAATTTGACGAATATGTCGCTTCAGAATTGATGAATGTATTTTTTAAAATCTCTTTTATAGTGGCTCGCTAATTTTGAAACAAATATTTTTATTGGAATATTTAGCCATATTTTGTTATGTTTGTGATGTAATTTGAATGAAATTTTAAAATTAGTTTTGCAAATTGACGTAACTAATTAAGTATGAATAAATGTTTACTTATCTAATAGACAAATTATTTTATAGCCTCTCCCCCAACTTCCAATTCATCTGACTTCAACATTGAGAAAATAAGATTTTCTTAATGCAAAGCAAGTGAATTTGGGCTGTAATTTTTTAATGCAAACCTCAGTATTTTGGTCGACTGTTGCTTTATTCTTTGGATCATGTTAAAGATATAAAACTGTTCGTTATGTAATTTATTATTCCTTTTCAAACCAACTAATTGCTTATATTTCGAGTTTAAATTTTATATGTTTGTATATACTGTATATTACTATTTTATCTACTGGGAAAAGGCACGGCTCCAATTTCCCCTGCAGTGACTCCTCTTGAAAGTCATGTTGGCCATGATATTCTCACTGACATAAACCCTGATAATTAAAAACACGAACAAATAAACGTTAAGCGGAGTAACGAATTTTCTAACATTAGCATATTTAGCTAATCAGTGTTAGTAAAATAGCTGTTATATCGCAATTTTTTTCGGTCCAAGTTATTGAAAAACCTTAGGGTGTTCCAATAACTTGAACTAATTTTAAATGTGAATTAATTTTAAGCGTGTAATGAGTTTTTTCTTTTTCTTTCAGATTTAACAACTTAAGTCTTTGGCAATTTCAACCATGCAAAGATTAACAATAAAACAACAGGTTAAAGTTATCGAAGCCTATTACAAAAATGGACGTTCAAACAGGGATTTATTTCGCGATTTTTTTGGTCAACATAATCGACCAACCAAGAGAGCAATTGGAAAAATGTTCGTAAATTCAAACAACCTGGGTCGGTGGCAGATGTAAAAACACCATTGCATGCTTGTTTACGCCGTTCAGTTGAAAACGTTGCTGCAGTGCACGAGAATATGGCCGAAAATCCAGACACTTCTATTCGACATCGCGCGCAGGAATTGAACCTCTCCACAACAACGTTACATCGAATTTTGACAAAAGATTTGTCTCTATACGCTTACAAAAATTCAATTGACACAAGAACTGAAAACTACTGACCAGTTGGAGAGATGTACATTCGTCAATTGGGTCCACGAGAAAAGACAAGCCGATGAAGTTTTTTCACAAAAAAACGTTTTTTTTTTGTTTTTTTTTTTTTAGTGACGAAGCCCATTTTCATCTTAGTGGATTTGTTAATAAGCAGAATTGTCGCATTTAGGCTGATGAAAATCCAAGGATAATTGTTGAAAAGCCACTGCATCCGCAAAAGTTTACTGTTTGGTGTGCATTTTTTGGCTAGCGGAATTATTGTGTCGTATATTTAAGAGTTTGTACGTCCATTTTCATAATAAGCTTTGATATGTTTAA